CAAACAAATTAGACAGGTATTGGGCAGACAAAATCATAAACGCAGAAAGACGGGTGCCAGTTCTTAGTTTCTGTTAATACAAGATCAGCTTATCAATAAAATGGCTCAATCGGGCATAAAAGGTGCCAGGACGTGTTCTCTGAGTTCAGTTCCCCAGTGAGTCAATTGGTCCTATAACAACACAAGAGAAAAACAGCTCAGTAAGAACACTACCCTCCTTCCCTCCCTCAATCACACCATTCCCTGCTAGCCTAGATTACGAGTAGTTCCTCTTTCGCTAAGTTCGTCGTGTGTGTCGCGCGAAATCCAGGGGCGCGCGGCCATTTTTTTCTCGCGGTTTTCTTTCGCGTCACGCACGACGGATTATGCGAAACAGGGACTACTCGTAGTCTACTAATAGCCAATTTCGGTAAACATTACTTGCAAAAAATTTCGGACGTTTAATTTTGGGACACTTTTTATCTGATTTTGGACAAAAATATCGGATTCTAATGAAACAAAGCTTAAAGCAAATTTATACCTACAAAAATCCAATTAGACACAAGCAACATCTGTAAAAATTATAGTTTGCTGTGTTTGAGGAACTTGTCTTAGTTTGTTTAATAACTGTGGGTTGACATATCAACAGGTTTCTAGCCATTGGGCAGACGCCCACAGTTAAAAGCAGATGTACATGTGCATTGCCGCATTGAAAGTAGTTTTTTGAGCCAAGTCATACGAGCCAGGTGGCCCATCAGGACGGAGCTTATCCCAGTTTCCGTGGCATGAAGCAACTAAGAGTATTTCTACTCCCCCTGGATGCGATGCTAGTTAGCATATCTGGAAATCTTCAAATAGCTGATGTCAAAACTGAAGAATTTTTAGGAGGGCGGTGCTCTCACGCCCTTTAGAAAGGTTTGGGTGCCCACTTTTCAATTCCTGGCTAAAAGCCTGCATATTTGCACACACACAGCAAATTCAAAGCCTAGTATGTGCCTATCCTTTCTGCCAAAGAAATGAAAATACAGATTTCTCTCCTCACTTGTGGTATATGAAGACAGATACTTGATATCTTGAACACTGCAACTTTACTCTTTTCAGCCTGAAAATAATAATCAGTAAACAACAGTTATGGTACTCCTCATACATATAAACTATATTTTTGTGTATGAGCCTACACACCATATTTATATACAGCAACTCAATGTTTTGAGCTTCTTGGGTCTAGAAAAAATTTATGACTACAGTCGAACGTCCCGTAAGTGACCAACCAAAATGTCAAGCCAAGGTGGTTGCTTAGAGGAGATGGTTGCTTGTGAGAGCTTACACCATATTGAGTCAAAATTTTGCCTCATTATCATATGGCAACTGTAGAGACTTGTGCCATGTGCCAATGCCCATCTAAAAACTTTTAGTAGCCACAAAAATATTTAAGCTTTCCAAATTATTTATTCAGAGTATCATGGTTTGCTTCTGATAAACTACAATGCCTTATTATCCAATTTCCGCTCTATTATCTGGCAAGTGGTCATTTTCGGGAGGTAAAAAAAACAAAAGAAAAATTCAAACTTTTAGCTCTAAAAGTGGTCATGGTTGTTAATGAGAGGTGGTCACTTACAAGATGTTCCAAATACATCTATAGTGGTTTGACTTGGAAACTTTTGGTACTTTGGAAAAATGGTCACTGAGGAGAGGGGTTCACTTATAAGAGGTGGTCGCAACTGGAGGTTGGACTGTATTACTTAAATTTTAACAACATAACAAATAAATTTATTTCCATCCTCTTAACTTGTGTATCCATCTTTCTATAAAGCAGAGAAGGGACTAACCTGAAAATTTATCTATAGATTTTTACTTTTAAATAAAGGTGCCTATCTATCTATCTATACTGATATGTGAAGCAAACATTTGAGATCAAGAATAGAGCTGTTTGTATAGGAAAAAAAGGAAAGACAAACTGTTTCAGTTAAAATATAACTTGGAAGAGTTCCAATAAAGCTTTTACCTGTAACTGATGTTTGTTGACAAAGAAGAACAGTGATTGTGAAGGATTGTTGATGATCAAACCAGTGTGCTCTTTTCTACTTAGAAGTCTCAGCAATTGCTTCTCATAGTCACAAGGTTCAAATTCAAACTTGCCCTGAATGGAGAAAGGCAACTGTCAGTTTCTTTGAAATGCAGCGAGGAAACATATATTAACACAATGTATAATGTATTTACAAGTTCTGAAAATGACCATGAAAATACTAGGTCTCATGTTACATGGTATGGTATGCCATTGTCTTGATAATAATAATAACAATAACAAATTAATATTTTAAGAGGAGGCCTCCAATCACCTAGAGGTGGTTTTCAGGAGGGTGCTCTAAAATATACATTAAATGTCTAAAATACAGAAGTAATAAAAGCTAAAACCTTAAAACTAAAACTAAGGTTTAAAACTAGAACTAGGATCAACTTATGTAGCCATCCATGTCACTGTAAAGGCTCTTTGTTCATATCTGTTCAGTCTAGCTTTGTGAGTTGCCAGAAGTTGTTGACAAGAAGATCATCAGACCAGTGAAGAGTACTACACTAGATGAACAGAAATGTTCCTGAAGTTTTGGCCGAGTCATGAGACAGATCATTGACTTTTTTTCTTATACTAACAACTTACTAACAGAGAGTAATGTCTTTATGGGAAAATCTCAAACCGAGATTTTGCCTTATTGACCGAGTGATAGCGAGGCCAATATGGCAAGGCCAAGGTTTGATGTTTAACCATAAAGACCGAACAATCAGGGTTAATAAGCTTTTTATTATATGACTTTTTGCCTTGCTTTTGCAAGCCCATAATTGGCCCATGGGCATTACGAGCAAATAATGCCCTAGAATAAGCCAATTAAAGCGAGCATTATATCGGCTACAAACACAAGCCATATAATAAAGCTAATTAATAAAACTATTGAAATATGTTTAGAGGCAAGTCACCTGAATGAGTCTATATTCAGACGTTTCGTTCCCCTTCCATCGTGAAAACAGCAGACAGACAATCCTATCAATGTCACTCCGAGGCCACAGAAAGAAATCAATTTCTTGCACACATCCAATCACATCCTAAGGAATGATCAAAATATTAATGAAAACTGGCATGTTGGGTATGCTGTTGAGTTTTGTCACGTCTCAAGTGCCAACACTTGTAAGTAATCGGTGTTTCTATTGCTGTTGTTATTGCAGAGGCTAAAGCTCATCATTTACCAAAAAAAATGGCAAAATTGCCTTCTTTTTTTCGTTAAAAACGTTCGTCAAATCAGTGCAAAACAATCCCTTTCCAGCAAAATTTGCCCAATAAAATTCTCACAAAATCAGAGGTTTTTTACATATCGTTTTTCAGTGAAATTTGCCCAAAAATTCCCACGAATTTCCTGCAAAACTGGCTGTTTTTTCCGCAAATTTGTCTCAGAAGCCCTGATTACTATGTATTACAATACACCAGAACAAAGGAAAAACCAAATTCTATCTAATCACGGGTGAAATAGAACCACGATATATATTTTCACCTTCTGTACCCTATTACATTGTAAGTTGGCCACAAGCTTGACTGGGATAGATTGCCACATATTGCCAGTTGCAGGCAGTGACTATGTTGCAGGTATGCCAGAAGCATTTGTGGTGAAAGCCCATTTTAGGGAGCAACAGTGTATGTATGTATTTGAGAACCAGGCTTATAAGATTTTGGGTTGACAATAAATTATAAATAAAGATTAAAATTATAGTCTGGATCAGCATTTTAATTTAATCACGGGTAAATAACTTAGTCTTGGAAATGTAAATGATACACACAGAACAATAACAAGTTATTGCAAAAGTCTTGTTTTAAGAAAAAATAAATAACTTGCTGAAAAAATTGCTTCTAGTAAGTCGGTCACTCGTTAGAACGTTTCTGGCTTACCTTATCTTTGAAAACAACAGCAATGTACATTTTAAAGTCAAATTGATCCGCCAACGATTCTCGCTTTCGTCGTAACTGCGACCGCAAACGGCTGAGAGTTGCTGATTTTCTGGAGGCAGGATCGGCCATTTGAGACTTACAGTCTGTCCAGCTTTTTAAACGAAAACTAAAACTTACGGTTGAAATTTGTTAAAAAATTCGTGTTAGCTGGACGCACAGTTGATGATTCACTGGCTGTTCTCGCGAGAAAAACTACAACGTTCCGACCTAAAATCCTTAAGGGCTATTTTATACAATCTAAAATTTTCATTTTCGGCATTTTGATGGTCCCTACAGCGCCTGGATTTGCTAAAATTCATGAAAAGTTAGGTTGTTATCCACCGTTCGCTCTTCGTTCTATGAGACGGAAAGATGGCGTCCAATGACGTCATTAACCTCGTTTTGAGTTCACATAGCTTGAATTCTTTACATTCCACAGCTCAATCAAAAATGGCGATTGACTTGTACAGGTTGATTGGTGTTGTTGTTAGCGCTTGTGTTTCTATCTTTCTTCTACTGGTGGTACAGGCGATTTTAGTTTTTAGAAAACTGAAACCAAAGTCAAGTCGGAAGGGCCGCAATGGAACGGTTGTCCTTCATCAAATGCCACCAAATAACAGAGTTTTAAATGTCTCTCCACCGTGTCTCAAGTTAGAAGCGTACTTAAGAATGAACAATATCCCTTATGAGAGCGATTACAGTTTCAATATGTCGAGTAAAGGGAAAGTTCCATGGATAGAATACAATGGAAAGTCCGTTGCTGATTCTAACTTTATAATCCGTTTCCTCAACGAAGAATTTCAATTTGACCCAGATGCCCATTTGAGTGTTGTGGAAAAAGCTATTGCACACTCGATGCTGGTCACACTCGAGGAGAATACTTACTGGTACGAAGTTTAACAATATTATATCAGTTTCATTTTATAGTAAGTTTGATTACTATGGATGTGTTTAGCAGCTCTCTCTTTAGTATCAGCTATCTTCAGTCTTGTCAATCTCCACATTTTATATTGATTTAGCGCATTTCCCCCGCTTCCCTATCATCACTGCACTGCAGGAGCTGTGACA